GGGCACACCTGGGCACACCTGGGGGGGATGGGAACACACCTGGGACACACCTGGGGAGGAAGGGACACACCTGGGGAGGAAGGGACTCACCTGAGACTCACCTGGGGACACCTGGAACACATCTGAGAGACACTTGGGGTGATGGAAAGACACCTGAGGACACACCTGAGACACACCTGGGGAGGAGAAAACACACCTGGGACACACCTGGGGTGATGGAAAGACACCTGAGGACACACCTGAGACACACCTGGGGAGGAGAAAACACACCTGGGACACACCTGGGGTGATGGAAAGACACCTGAGGACACACCTGAGACACACCTGGGGAGGAGAAAACACACCTGGGACACACCTGGGGTGATGGAAAGACACCTGAGGACACACCTGAGACACACCTGGGGAGGAGAAAACACACCTGGGACACACCTGGGGTGATGGAAAGACACCTGAGGACACACCTGGAACACACCTGGGGAGGAAGAGACTCACCTGGGACACACCTGGGAAGGGGAAAACACACCTGGGACACCTGAGACACACCTGGGACACCTGAGACACACCTGGGGACACCTGGGAAGGAGAAAACACACCTGGGGACACACCTCAGCAGGAAGGGACACACCTGGGACACACCTGGGGAGGAAGGGACTCACCTGAGATTCACCTGGGGACACCTGGAACACATCTGAGAGACATTTGGGGTGATGGAAAGACACCTGAGACACACCTGGGGTGATGCCCATCCTCCCCCCTCACCTGCCGCTCTCCCCGGCAGCTCCCGCGATGCACCCGGAGGCTCCGCCCACCCCGTGACGTCACCCCGGAGGCTCCGCCCACCTGGGGGCGCCGCCATGTCCGGCCCGGCCACGCCCCCTGACGTCACCGCCCCCTCGAGCCCCGCCCCCGACTCACCTGGTGATGTCATGGGTCCCTCGAGCCCCGCCCACCGCTCACCTGGAGCCGATCCTGGCTCACCTGGTGACGTCACCGCCCCCTCAAACCCCGCCCCCGTCTCACCTGGTGACGTCATGGGTCCCTCAAGCCCCGCCCACCACTCACCTGGTGACGTCACCGCCCGTTTAACCGCACTTGGCCCCGCCCAGCACTTACCTGGTGACGTCATGGATCCCTCAAGCCCCGCCCCTGACACACCTGCTGACGTCACCGCCCCTTCAGACACACCTGGCCCCGCCCACAGCTCACCTGGTGACGTCATGGATCCCTCAAGCCCCGCCCCTGACACACCTGCTGACGTCACCGCCCCTTCAGACACACCTGGCCCCGCCCACAGCTCACCTGGTGACGTCATTGTCCCCTCCAGCACACCTGGAGACACCCAGGACTCACCTGGTGATGTCACCGCCCCCTCAACCGAGATACACCTGGGACACACCTGGGCACACCTGGGGAGGAGAAAACACACCTGAGACACACCTGGGCAGGAAGGGACACACCTGGGACACACCTGGGGAGGAAGGGACTCACCTGAGATTCACCTGGGGACACCTGGAACACATCTGAGAGACATTTGGGGTGATGGAAAGACACCTGAGACACACCTGGGGTGATGGGAACACACCTGAGGACACACCTGAGACACACCTGGGGAGGAGAAAACACACCTGGGGACACCTGGGACACACCTGGGCAGGAAGGGACACACCTGGGGACACCTGAGACACACCTGAGCAGGAAGGTGACCCACCTGTCCCCACCTGCGCAGGTGAGCGGCCGTACCTGTGCGCGGAGTGCGGGAAGAGCTTCGGGCGCTCCTCGTCGCTCGCCTGCCACCAGCGCATCCACGGCACACCTGGGCACACCTGGGGACACACCTGGGACACACCTGGGACACACCTGGGACACACCTGGGACACACCTGGGACACACCTGGGGACACCTGGGGTGATGGAAAGACACCTGAGGACACACCTGAGGCACACCTGGGGAGGAGAAAACACACCTGAGACACACCTGGGTGGGATGGGACACACCTGAGCAGGAAGGGACACACCTGGAGGGAATGGTCAGTCACCTGTGACTCACCTGTGTTTAATTTTTGGGGATTTTTTTTTAATTATTCTTTGGAATTTTATTTTTATTTTTGGGGGATTTTTTTGTAATTTTTGGGGATTTTTCCGTGGCTATTTCGCGTCCCTTTCTCACTGAGCCCCCTCCCGTGCCGGCAGGCGAGCGGCCCTTCCTGTGCCCGCAGTGCGGCCGCACCTTCGGCGACCCCTCGAGCTTCCGGCGGCACCAGCGCGCGCACCAGGGCGTGAAGCCCTACGGCTGCGGCGACTGCGGCAAGGCCTTCCGGCAGCCGGCCGACCTGGCCGTGCACCGGCGCACGCACACCGGCGAGCGGCCCTGGCGCTGCGGCGACTGCGGCAAGGCCTTCGTGGCCTCCTGGGACCTGAAGCGGCACCGCCTGACGCACTCGGGCGAGCGGCCCTGGCGCTGCGGCGACTGCGGCAAGGGCTTCGGGGAGCGGGCGGCGCTGGGCAAGCACCGGCGCACGCACTCCGGGGAGCGGCCCTTCGCCTGCGCCGCCTGCGGCAAGGGCTTCGGGGGCCTCTCGGGGCTCAGGAAGCACGAGAGGACGCACGGCAGGGAGGGGGGGGGCAACATGGCCGACGGCAGTATGGCGGCTGCCGGGGGGAGCAATATGGCTGCCAGCACCAAAATGGCCGACGGCAGTACGGCGGCCGTTGGGGGAAACAATATGGCCGACACCAATATGGCGGCCGTTGGGGGGAGCAAGATGGCCGACACCAATATGGCGGCTGTTGGGGGAAACAATATGGCCGGCACTAATATGGCGGCCATTGGGGGGAGCAATATGGCTGCCAGCACCAATATGGCCGACGGCAATATGGCGGCTGTTGGGGGCAGCAAGATGGCTGCCAGCACTAACATGGCCGACACCAATATGGCGGCCGTTGGGGGAAACAATATGGCTGCCAGCACCAATATGGCCGACAGCAATATGGCGGCCATTGAGGGAAACAATATGGCCGGCACCAATATGGCTGATGCCAATATGGCTGCCGTTGAGAAAAGCAATATGGCTTCCGGCACTAATATGGCTGCCAGCACCAATATGGCCAATGCCAATATGGCTGACATTGGGAAAAAGAACATGGCGGGTGGTAATATGGCTGCCGTTGGGGGGAGCAATATGGCCGCAGTTCTGGAAAACAAAATGGCCGACACAAATATGGCCGCCACCAACGTGGCAGCCATGTTGGAAAACAAAATGGCCGACACCGACATGGCTGCCGAATCCAAGATGGCCGCCGGAACCAACATGGCCGCCGGATCCAAGATGGCGTCGGGGCTCCGCCCCTTTCCCTGCCCCCTCTGTGGGCGGAGCTTCGCCTCGGGGGCGGGGCTGAGGCGGCACCAGCGACGTCACAGCCCCGCCCCCTTCAGCACTTCATAGGCCCCGCCCCCAGCGCGGGTGGGCGGGGCTTGTTTGGGTGGGCGGGGCTTGTTTGGGGCGTGGTCGGGCTGGCCACTCCCCCCGCGCGGGTCAATAAACGCTGAGTCAGCAACGGCGGCTGCGGCTGAGTGGGGGAGGGGGGCCCGGAATCCCCCAAAATGGACCCAAAAAATCCCCAAAATATCCCAAAAATCCCCGAAATTCCAAAATAGCCAAAAATGGACCCGAAATCCTCCAAAATGGACCCAAAAATTCCACAAAATATCCCAAAAATCCCTGAAAATCCAGAATACCCAAAATGGACCCAAAATGGCCCCCAAAAAATCCCCAAAAATCCCTGAGATTCCAAAATAGCCAAAAATGGACCTGAAATGCCCCAAAATGGACCCAAAATGGCCCCCAAAAAATCCCCAAAAATCCCTGAGATTCCAAAATAGCCAAAAATGGACCTGAAATGCCCCAAAATGGACCCAAAATGGCCCCCAAAAAATCCCCAAAAATCCCTGAGATTCCAAAATAGCCAAAAATGGACCTGAAATGCCCCAAAATGGACCCAAAATGGCCCCCAAAAAATCCCCAAAAATCCCTGAGATTCCAAAATAGCCAAAAATGGACCCGAAATCCTCCAAAATGGACCCAAAAATTCCACAAAATATCCCAAAAATCCCTGAAAATCCAGAATACCCAAAATGGACCCAAAATGCCCCAAAATGGACCCAAAATGGCCCCCAAAAAATCCCCAAAAATCCCTGAGATTCCAAAATAGCCAAAAATGGACCTGAAATGCCCCAAAATGGACCCAAAAAATCCTGTAAAATCCCTAAAAATCCCTGGAATTCCAAAATAGCCCAAAATGGCCCCAAAATTCATCAAAATCCCCCAAAAATGGCCCCAAAAAATCCCGGAAAATCCCCAAAAATCCCTGGAATTCCAAAATAGCCCAAAATGGGCCCAAAATCCTCCAAAATGGACCCAAAAATTCCACAAAATATCCCAAAAATCCCTGAGATTCCACAATATCCAAAAATGGCCCCAGAATTCATCAAAATTTCCCAAAATGGCCCCAAAAAATCCCGAAAAATCCCCAAAAATCCCTGGAATTCCAAAATAGCCAAAAATGGACCCGAAATCCCCCAAAATGGCCCCGAAAATTCCACAAAAAATCCCAAAAAAATCTCTGAAATTCGAAAATTTCCCCAAAATGCATCAAAAGTCCCCAAAATGGCCCCAAAAATATTAAAAAAAATTAAAAAAAAATCCCTGGAATTCCAGAATATCCAAAAATGGCCCCAAAAATCCTTGAAATTCCAAAATAGCCCAAAAATGGCCCAAAAATATCCCAAAAAATCCATTAAATTCTAAAATATCCCATAATGGCCCCAAAATGCATCAAAATATCCCAAAAATGACCCCAAAAATATTCAAAAAATTCCCTAAAATTCCAAAATAGCCAAAAATGGCCTCAAAATTCCCCAAAATGGCCCCAAAAATATTTTTAAAAATCAACAAAAATTCCCTGAAATGCCAAAATGTCCCAAAAATGGCCGTAAAATTCCCCAAAAATATTCCAACGAAATCCCTAAAATTCCAAAATATCCCAAAATGGCCCCAAAATTCATGAAAATTTCATCAAAATTTCCCAAAATGGCCCCAAAAAATCCCGAAAAATCCCCAAAAATCCCTGGAATTCCAAAATAGCCAAAAATGGACCTGAAATGCCCCAAAATGGACCCAAAAAAATCCCAAAAATCTCCCAAAAATCTCTGAAATTCCAAAATAGCCAAAAATGGACCCGAAATGCCCCAAAATGCCCCCAAAAAATCCTGTAAAATCCCTAAAAATCCCTGAAATTCCAAAATAGCCAAAAATGGCCCCAAAATTCAGCAAAATCCCCCAAAATGGCCCCAAAAAATCCCGAAAAATCCCTGGAATTCCAAAATAGCGAAAAATGGACCCAAAATCCCCCAAAATGGCCCCAAAATTCATGAAAATTCCCCAAAAATGGCCCCAAAATGGCCCCAAAAAATCCCGAAAAATCCCTGGAATTCCAAAATAGCGAAAAATGGACCCAAAATCCCCCAAAATGGGCCCAAAAAATCCTGAAAATATCCCAAAAATCCCTGAAATTCCAAAATATCCCAAAAATGGCCCCAAAATTTATGAAAATATCCCAAAATGGCCCCAAGAATTTTTTAAAAATTCCAAAATATCCCAAAAATTGTCCCAAAAAAATCCCAAAATTCATCAAAATTCTCTAAAATGGCCCCAAAAATATTTTAAAAAATCAAAAAAATTCCCTGAAATGTCAAAATATCCGAAAAATGACCCCCAAATTATTCCAAAAAATCCCTAAAATTCCAAAATATCAAAAAATGGTCCCAAAATTCATCAACATTCCCCAAATGGCCCCAAAATCTCCCCAAAAAAATCCCTGAGATTCCACAATATCCGAAAATGGCCTCAAAAGTCTCCAAAATGGCCCCAAAGATATAAAAAAATTCCAAAATATCCCAAATATGGCCCCAAAATTTATCAAAATTCTCCAAAATTTGCCGCAGAACTACCAAAAAAATCAGAGGAATTCCAAAGTGTCCCAAAAATTTCCCAAAATTCATCAAAATTCCCCAAAAATGGCCCCAAAAATCCCCCCAAACAACCCCAAGGTTCCCAAAATTTCCTAAATAGTCCCAAAATCGCCTAAAATATCCCCAAAATTCCCCCAAATGTCTCAAAAACCTGGAAAAAAATCCCCAAAATTTTCCAAATAGCCCCAAAATCCCCAAAATATTCCCAAAATTCCCGGAAATTCATGAAATAACCCCAAAATATCTTCAAAATAGCCCCAAAATTAAAAAAAAAAATCCCCCAAAGTTCCCAAAATTCCCCTAAAATTCCAAAATATCCCAAAATGGCCCCAAAATTCATGAAAATTCCCCAAAAATGGCCCCAAAATGGCCCCAAAATTCCCAAAAATATTGAAAAGAATTCCTAAAATTCCAAAATATCCCAAAATGGCTCCAAAATGCCCGAAAAATATCCCAAAAATGGCCCCCAAAATCCCCTAAAATGGCCCCAAAATTCCCCCAAAATATCCCCAAAGTTCCCAAAATTTCCCAAAAGAACCCCGAAATCTCCTAAAACATCCCCAAAATTGCCCAAAACAGCCCCAAAATTCCCCCAAATTTCTCAAAAACCTGGAAAAAAATCCCCAAAATTTTCCAAATAGCCCCAAAATCCCCAAAATATTCCCAAAATTCCCGGAAATTCATGAAATAACCCCAAAATATCTTCAAAATAGCCCCAAAATTCCAAAAAAAAATCCCCCAAAGTTCCCAAAATTCCCAAAATTTCCCCCAAAATCTCCTCAGGAGCATCCGGGACCCCCCAAAATCACTGAAATTGCCCCAAAATGCCCCAAAAATCTCCAGGGTGGGACATGAGACCCCTAAAAAATCCCCAAATTCCTGAAAAAATTCCAAAATCTCCCCCCAAAAAAATCCCAAAATCCACCCAGGACGCCCCAAAATCTCCCAAATACCAAAAAAAACCCCAAAATCTCCAAAAAAATCCCAAATCTCCCCCAAAAAAATCCCAAAATCTGCCTAAAATTCCCCTCGGGACTCCCCAAAATCCCCCCAAAAATTGGGAATTCCTGAGAACCCCAAAATATCCAAAAATCTCCCCAAAAATCCTGGAAATTTTGCCCAAAAAACCCCAAAATTCCCTCAATCCCCCCCAAAATCTCCCTCAAGACTCCCAAAAATTCCCCCAAAAATCCTGAGGGGCCCAAAATCCTCAAAATTCCACCCAAAAAATGCCCAAAAATTCCCCCTAAAATCCCCTAAAAATCCCAAATTTCCCCTTGGGAGAAAGAGACCCCAAAATCCCCGAAATTTCCCCCAAAATCCTCTCAAATCCACCCAAAAATCCCCCAAATCCCCCTCGGGATTCCCCAAAAATTCCCCAAAAGAAGCAAAATCTCCCCCAAAATCCCAAAATCGCCCCAAACCTCCTAAAAAACCCAAAATTTTGAAATTCCCTCCACTCATCCCCCCCGAAAAAAACCCAAATTCTCCCCGAGCACCCCGAAAAAATCCAAAATTGAAAAAACTCCCCCCAAAAAACCTCCAAGGCCTGCAAAAAAAAATGTTAAAACCCCAAAATCCCCCTTTTTTGTCTTTTTGGGGTTTTTTTGGGTGGTATTTTGGGATTTTTGTGGTTTTTTTCAGGTTTTTTGGGTTTTTTGGGTGGGATTTGGGGATTTTTGTATTTTTTGGGTATTTTTTGGGGGTTGATTTTGGGATTTTTGTGGGTTGTTTTTGGGTGTTTTTTTTGGGGTGGGATTTTGGGATTTTTGTATTTTTTGGGACTGAATTTGGGATTTTTGGGGGAAATTTGAGCAATTTTGGGTCCTAGGACACTCAAAGGGGGCGGAGTTTCCCCTTTGGGACCCCCAAAAATGGGTTCAGGACCCCCAAAAATGGGTTTGGGAGCCCCAAAAATGGGGTCAGGAGCCCCAGAAACCCCCCAGGGACCCCCAAAAATGGGTTCAGGACCCCCAAAAATGGGTTTAGGACCCCAAAAACGGGCTCAGGACCCCCAATAATGGGTTTAGGAACCCCAAAAATGGGTTTGGGAGCCCCAAAAATGGGTTCAAGACCCCCAAAAACCAGGTCAGGACGCCCAAATATGGGTCTGGGACCCCCAAAAACGGAATCAGGAGCCCCAAAAACCTCCCAGGGACCCCCAAAAATGGGTTTGGAACCCCCAAAAATCCCCCAAACCCCAAAAATTCTGCCAAAATTCTCCCAGAATTCTCCCAAAATTTCCCCCAAAATTCCCAAAAATTCCCCAAAATCCCCCAAATTTCCCCAAAATAAAAAAAATCCCCCAAAACCCAAAAAAATTCCCCAAAAATTCTCCCAAAATTGCCCAAATTCCCCCGAAATTCCCAAAAATGCCCCAAAAATTCCCCAAATTTTCCCAGAATTCCCAAAATTCCCCAAAATCCCCCAAATTCCCAAAAAAATCCCCAAAAATTTCCCCCAAATTCCCCAAAAATCCCCAAAAATCCCCCGAAATTTCCAAAAATTTGCCAAAATTCCCCTGAAATTCCCCAAAATTGCCCAAAATGCCTCAAAAATTCCCCCAAAATGCCCCAAAATTCCCAAAATTTTCCCCAAAAATCCCCAAATTTTCCCAAAATTCCCCAAATTTTCCGAAAATCCCCCAAATTTTCCCCGAATTCGGGGGCAGGTGGAGGAGATCCGCGGCTGCATCGAGAAGCTCTCGGAGGACGTGGAGCAGGTGAAGAAGCAGCACAGCGCCATCCTGGCCGCCCCCAACCCCGATGAGAGTGAGTTTAATTAATTAATTAGCTAATTAATTAATTAATGGGATCGTTAATGGGGTTGTTAATGGGGTTATTGGGTTATTAATGGGGTTTTTTGGGTCATTAATGGGGTTTTTGGGTGATTAATGAGCGGCACAGCGCCACCCTGGCCGCCCCCAACCCCGACGAGAGTGAGCCAATTAACTAATTAATTAATTAATTTAAAAAGTGTTAATTTATGGGGTCATTAATGGGGTTATTGGGTCATTAATGGGGTTATTGGGTGATTAATGAGCGGCACAGCGCCATCCTGGCCGCCCCCAACCCCGACGAGAGTGAGTTTAATTAATTAATTAGCTAATTAATTAATGGAATCATTAATGGGGGCATTAATGGAGTTATTAATGGGGTTATTGGGTCATTAATGGGGTTTTTTGGGTTATTAATGGGGTAATCAGGCCATTAATGAGCGGCACAGCGCCACCTTGGCTGCCCCCAACCCCAATGAAAGTGAGTTTTAATTAATTAATTAACCAATTAATTAATTGGGTCTTTATTATTTGGGTCGTTAATGGGGTTATTGGGTCATTAATGGGATTTTCTGGGTAATTAATGCTGTAATTGGGTCATTAAGAAGGGGCACATCGCCATCCTGGCCGCCCCCAACCCTGATGAAAGTGAGCTAATTAACTAATTAACTAATTAATCAATCAGTGGGATCGTTGATTGGGTCATTAATGGGGTCATTAATGGGGTTAATGGGTAATTAATGGGATTTTTTGGGTCATTAATGGGGTTATTGGGTGATTAATGATTGGGGTTATTGGGTGATTAATGGCCGCCCCCAACCCCGATGAAAGTGAGATTTAATTAATTAATTAACTAATTAATTATTATTGGGGTCATTAATGGGGTTATTGGGTAATTAACGGGGTAATTGGGTGATTAGTGAGCGGCACGGCGCCATCAGTGCCATTGGTCAGTGACTGGTCAGTCACTGGTCACTCGTGGTCACTGGTGGTCACTCCTGGTCACTTGTGGTCACTCATAGTTACTTGTGTTCACTTGTGGTCACTCATGGTCACTCGTGGTCACTGGTGGTCACTGGTGGATGCATGTGGTCACTCGTGGTCACCGGTGGTCACTCGCAGTCACTGGCGGTCACTGGTGGTCACTGGTGGTCACCAGTGGTCACTCGTGGTCACTTGTGGACACTGCTGGTCACTCGTGGTCACTTGTGGTCACTCGTGGTCACTGGTGGTCACTCATGGTAACTCGTGGTCACTCATGGTCACTCGCGGTCACTCGTGGTCACCAGTGGTCACTCGTGGTCACTCCTGGTCACTCGTGGTCACTCCTGGTCACTCGCGGTCACTCGTGGTCACTCGCGGTCACTCCTGGTCACTCGCGGTCACTCGTGGTCACTCGCGGTCACTCGCGGTCACTCGTGGTCACTCGCGGTCACTCCGGTCCCCGCAGAGACCAAGCAGGAGCTGGAGGACCTGACGGCCGACATCAAGAAGACGGCGAACAAAGTGCGCTCCAAATTGAAAGGTGACCCCTCCCCCCCCCGGGTGACCCCTCCCCCCCGAGTGACCACCGAGTGACCACCGAGTGACCGCTGGGTGGACGCTGAGTGACCGCTGAGTGACCGCTGTCCGGCCGCAGCCATCGAGCAGAGCATCGAGCAGGAGGAGGGGATGAACAGCTCCTCGGCCGACCTGCGCATCCGCAAGACGCAGGTGGGGCCTTCATCATCCTCATCATCGTCATCGTCGTCGTCTTCATCGTCGTCATCATCATTGTCATTAATTTAATTGGCTCCATTTTCATCATCATCGTCATCATCATTGTCATTAATTTAATTGGCTTCATCTTCATCATCGTCATCGTAATTAATTTCATTGGCTTCATCTTCATCGTCATCGTTATTGTTATTGTCATGGATTCATCTTCATCCTCATCATCTTCGTCATCGTCGTCATCTTCATCGTCGTCATCATCATTGTCATTAATTTAATTGGCTTCATCTTCATCATCATCGTTATTGTTATTGTCATGGATTCATCTTCATCCTCATCCTCATCATCATCGTCATCATCTTCATCATCGTCATCATCATTGTCATTAATTTAATTGGCTCCGTCTTCATCATCATCGTCGTCATCGTCATCGGTTTTATCTTCAGCGTTGTCATTGGCTTGGTCTTCATCATCATCATCATCATCTTCATCATCATCATCTTCATCATTGTCATCATCATTGTCATTAATTTAATTGGCTCCATCTTCATCATCGTCGTCGTCGTCGTCATCGTCGTCATTGGATTCATCTTCATCATCATCGTAATTAATTTCATTGGCTTCATCTTCATCGTCATCGTTATTGTTATTGTCATGGATTCATCCTCATCCTCATCATCATCGTCATCGTCGTCATCCTCATCGTCGTCATCATCATTGTCATTAATTTCATTGGCTTCATCTTCATCATCATCGTCGTCATCGTCGTTGGTTTTATCTTCATCGTTGTCATTGGCTTGGTCTTCATCATCATCATCATCATCGTCATCATTGTCATTAATGTCATTGGCTTCATCCTCATCGTCATCGTCATTGGTTTTATCTTCATCATCGTCATCATCATTGTCATTAATTTAATTGGCTTCATCTTCATCATCGTCATCATCATCATTGTCATGGATTCATCTTCATCATCGTCATCATCATCATCATTGTCATTAATTTCATTGGCTTCATCTTCATCTCCTTCATCATCGTCGTCATCATTATTAATGTCATTGGCTTCATCCTCATCATCGTCATCGTCATCTTCATCATCGTCATTGGATTCATCTTCATCATCATCATCATTGGATTAATCTTCATCATCATCATCATCATCGTCATTGTCATTGTCATGGCTTCATCCTCATCATTGTCATTGGCTTCGTCATTGGCTTCATCATCATCATCATCATCATCATCATCATCATCATCATCATCATCATCATCGTCATTGGCTTCATCTTCATCATCTTAATTAACTTCATTGGCTTCATCATCATCGTCATCATCGTCATCAACTTCATTGGTTTCATCTTCATCATCGTCATCGTCATCGTCATTGACTTCATCATCATCATCATCGTCGTCACCAGCACTGCCTTGTACGATCTCACCTGTCAGTCTCACCTGTCAATCTCACCTGGAAATCTCACCTGTCAATCATCTGTCAATTACACCCGTCAATCATCTCACATGTCAATCCCCTGTCAATCTCCCCTGTCTCACCTGTCAATCTCACCTGTCAATCCCATGTCAATCCGTGTCAATCACCTGTCAATCACCTGTCAATCCCCTGTCAATCCCATGTTAATCACCTATCAATCACCTATCAATCCCCCGCCACTCCCCTCTCACTCCCCTGTTAATCACCTGTCAATCACCTGTCAATCGCACCTGTCACTCCCCTGTCAATCCCCAGCCAATCCCCTGTCAAATTCACCTGTCAATCACCTGTAAATCCCCTATCAATCACAGGTCAAATCCGCCTGTCAATCACCTGTCTCTCACCTGCCAATCCCCTGTGTATCTCCTGTCAATCACACCTGTCAGTCTCACCTGTCTCTCACCCATCACTCCCCTGTCACTCACCCGTCACTCCCCTGTCATTTACCTGTCAGTCACCCGTCACTCCCCTGTTAATCACCTATCAATCACAGGTCAAATTCACCTGTCAATCACCTGTCAATCACCCATCAATGACATATCAATGACATATCAATCCCCTATAAATCACACCTGTCAATCACACCTGTCAATCACCTGTCAATCCCCTGTCAATCCCCTGTCAATCACCTGTCACTCCCCTGTTAATCACCTATCAATCACATATCAAATTCACCTGTCAATCACCTGTCCATCCCCTATCAATCACACCTGTCAAGCCCTGTCAATCTCACCTGTCACTCCCCAGTCAATCTCACCTGTCAATCCCCTGTCAATCACCTGTCAACCCCCTGTCAATCATCCATCAATCACCTGTCAGTCCCATGTCACTCACCCGTCACTCCCCGTCAATCCCCTGTCAATCCCCTCTCAATCCCCTGTCAATCACCCGTCACTGCCCTGTTAATCCCCTATCAATCACATGTCAATCACACCTGTCAATCACACCTGTCAATCACCCGTCAATCCCCCAGCACTCGACGCTGTCCCGCAAGTTCGTGGAGGTGATGACGGAGTACAACGCGACGCAGTCCAAGTACCGGGACCGCTGCAAGGACCGGATCCAGAGGCAGCTCGAGATCAGTGAGGGTCACTCAGGGGTCACTCAGGGGTCACTGGGGTCACTCAGGGGTCACTCAGTGGTCACTCAGGGGTCAGCGGTCAGTACAACGCGACGCAGTCCAAGTACCGGGACCGCTGCAAGGACCGGATCCAGAGGCAGCTCGAGATCAGTGAGGGTCACTCGGGGGTCACTCGGGGGTCACTCTGGGGTCACTCAGGGGTCATTGGTGACTCAGGGGTCACTCAGGGTCACTCAGGGTCACTGGGAGTCATTGGTCACTCATGGGAGTGGTCAGCGCCCGCTGACCGCTGCAAGGACAGGATCCAGAGACAGCTCGAGATCAGTGAGGGTCACTCGGGGGTCACTCGGGGGTCACTCTGGGGTCACTCAGGGGTCATTGGTGACTCAGGGGTCACTCAGGGTCACTCAGGGTCACTGGGAGTCATTGGTCACTCATGGGAGTGGTCAGTGCCCGCTGACCACTGCAAGGACAGGATCCAGAGACAGCTCGAGATCAGTGAGGGTCACTCTGCGGTCACTCTGGGGTCACTCAGGGGTCATTGGTGACTCAGGGGTCACTCAGGGTCACTCAGGGTCACTGGGAGTCATTGGTCACTCATGGGAGTGGTCAGTGCCCACTGACCGCTGCAAGGACCGCATCCAGCGGCAGCTCGAGATCAGTAAGGGTCACTCAGGGTCACTCTGGGGTCACTGGGGTCACTCAGGGGTCACTCAGGGGTCACTCAGGGGTCACTCAGGGGTCACTCAGGGGTCAGCGGTCATTGGTCACTCAGGGGTCACAGGAGTCAGTGGTCAGTGTGGAGGGGCTGACTCATGGGAGTGGTCACTCTAGAGGTCAAGGGGTCACTCTGGGGGTCAGCGGTCAGTGGGGAGGTCAGTGGTCA